CGGCGGCTGAGGCTGTAGCTGCTGCGGGAAGGAGGGATGAAGGGAAGGAGCCGCGGCGCAGAGGGAAAGCGCAAAATGGCCGCGCCTGAGTCACCGACGCCGCCCGGCACGCACTGCGCAGGCGCGCCGTGCCGGCCCGTACCAAGCTTGGCGAGGGGGGAAGCTGAGGGAGTGTAGGAGGGGAGAGGGGGATGACTCTGAGAGGTGGAACGAGGAACGGAGAGACAAGGTCGCCTGTCTTCGTTATTGCCTGGCGCCCCGCCCCCACTGCGTCTTAATTCAGGTCCCAACACCCCCCCTGCATTGCCGAGGTTGGTAGCAGCGCCTCACGTGATCTGCAATACCCACTCAGGACGGGGTTGTGGCTGGAGCGGATGCTCCTCCCCCTTATCGTTCGGCGCGTGGGGCTAGCCTCCCAGCCTCCGGCGCAGGCGCGTTGCCTGTGGGCGGGCAGTAGGAGCTCGGCGCCGCCTTCTGTGCAGTGGCCGGTGGTGCTCGTGTTTGTGCGTCGATTGCAACCCGTGTAGGGTGCGCCGCCAGTAAGAGCAAAAGTGTTCACCATGGGCAGTGGTGGACCTGGGAGCCGTGTTGGTCTGAGACAAAGAAATGGAAAAATCTAGAATGTGGGCAGTAGTTTTCGAGGGAGTTCATTGACATAGCTTGTGCCAAGCCCAAGTCATTCGCAGGGAGTTTGGGGATTTGCTATCAGTGCTTTCTTATGCCTGCTTGGATCAAAATAAAAAAATATTTCAACTTTGGTGAGTCAGTTCTCACCCACTGGTAGTTCACAGTGAGCACTAATGTTATTTGCATATTTATTTACATATTTTTTTCAACCATGTTGAGCTTCCAAAACAATAGTTTCATAGTTGAGACCTCGCAACGCTGTTGCAGGGGCCCTGCTGCCCCCTGAGGCATGGGGGGGCGGGGGGGAGGGTAACTCCAGCCTCTAGTGCAGGGGTGGGGAAATGTTTTGGCCGGAGGGCTGCTTACTGAGTTTCGGCAAGCCATCGAGGGCAGCATGATGGGCAGCCCTGGGCATATAAATATTAATTTTCTAAATTTTTTAGGGGCCCCTGGGCGGGATAGAAGGGCCTGGTGGGCTGCATCTGGCCCCCGGGCCGCATTTTGCCCACCCCTGCTCTAGTGCCACTGTCACGTATTACATGTGTCATTCAGCTGCTGCTGGTTAATGGTACAATACACTTTGACTGATCACAGTGCAAAGTAAGAGGGGCCACAAGTACAAAGTAATGATCATACAATTAACCAGTGAATCTTGCAGTAAATTTAGACGGGCCACAGAGGTGAAAGTAATGTTCACAGGACTGAAAACCATCCAGCTAGGAAGAGAGCCACCCAGCTACAACCTGATAGTGTTTGAAAACGTGCAGCCACTCTAGAGCTGATTTCTCACCATCTTAAAAGGGAACATGTTTGTGGGGATCCAGGTGAAGGGAATCCATGGGCAGAGAAACATATTGCCCAGCAGCAAGTGGCATTTAATGGAGCCTGAGTTTTCATGCCTGCTGGGCCCTGTGTCGTTGCTGTCTTCTACCATCTCCCTAATAAGATATTTTCCTCAGTGAGTAGGGAAACAACCTGGTGCAGGGGGCAGAGGGGATTCCTGTTAGTAATATTATTATTCAGTGAGGCTGGCACTAGCTGGTGGCCGGGCCCAGGTGAGGGCCACCAAAGGCAGCCCGAGGCATGAGCAGAAGCTTCTTCCATGGCAGCTGCAGGTTCCCATGTGCCCTTCTGAGAATCCCATTTGCATCTGCATGGGTTTGCCCATTCCTAGCCAGCAAAACCCCAATGCAGCCTCAGCCCCTCTAGCACCCATCCCAGCTCTACTCATGAACCATCCTGAGACTGTACTCTGCCCCCCTCTGCCCCAAATTCGGGCAAGCCAGCCCCTACGATTGGTCAGTCTTGGAAGGAAATGCTTCATTAGCTTCTCCCCCAGTGAAGGAAAAAGCATATGGAGCGTGGTCACACAATGCAGCTCATGTGATGCAGGAGCGCAGTGTTATTGGGCAAGCAGCTGGCCCACGATTGGTCAGCTTTGGAAGGAAACACTCCATTAGCCCCTTCTGTCAGTGAAAGGAAATGCAAAGCCATGTGGCAAGGGCCATGTGATGGGCCTCACTCAAGAAGAGCCACATGGCACGGCCCATGCAGGGCAAGCTGGCCTATGACTGGTTGGTCTTGGAGGGAAACACTGCATGAGCTCCTGGCAGCCGTGGTAGGTGTGGCGTCCCATGCCAGCATACGCGTCACACGGTAGTGCCAGGTCTGTGTGACATCATGCTCCGGCACAACACTAAATTGTGGGGTGAAGTGCACGCTCCAGAGGGTAGGGAATAATTGCAGGCAGACCTGGACAGTTTGGAAAAGTGGGCAGTACACAAGAGGATGCAGTACAACAAGAACAAATGCAAGGTGTTGCACCTAGGGCGTAAAAATATCCAGCACACCTACTGGCTGGGAAGTGACCCTCCCAGCAGCACAGAAGCAGAAAGGGATCTCGGCCTCGTAGTGGACTCCAAGATGAACATGAATCATCAGCGTGACGAAATCATCAGCAAAGCTAACCACACTTATCATGCATCAGCAGATGCATGACAAATAGATCCAAGGAGGGGATACTTACCTTCTATGCAGCACTGGTCAGACCGCAGTTGGAGTACTGAGTCCAGTTTTGGGTGCCACACTTCAAGTAGGGTGTTGATAGACTCGAGAGGGTCCAGAGGAGAGCCACTTGTATGGTTAAAAGTTTGCAGGTCAAGCTCTATGAGGAGAGACTAAAGGACCTGAACCTCTTCAGCCTCTGCAAAAGGCTGAGAAGTGAATTTGTAGGCAGCCACAAGATTGTTATGGGGTGCAGCAAAGAACTGGAGTTGCTCCGTTCACCAGGGCGCCTCTTGGGGTAACGAGAAACAATGGTCACAAACTGACAGAGAGTAGATTTAGGCTAGACATCAGGAAGAACTTCTTCATGGTAAGGTAGCCAGAATTTGGCAGGGGCTTCCAAGGGAGGCGGTGCTCTCCCCTACCTTGGGGGTCTTTAAGAGAAGGCTGGATAGGCATCTGGCTGGGGTCATCTGACTCCAGCACTCTTTCCTGCCCAGGAGAGAGGGTCGGACTCGATGATTTGTTGAGGTTTCTTCCAACCCTAGCATCTATGAATCTATGAACACGGCTCAACACATTGGAGTAACAGGCTGTTCTGGCAAGGGGAGGGAGAACAAGATCTCCCCCCTCAGGGCTTTCACCAGTGTCTGGAGACCCCGAGACCCCTTTACCCCCACCCCCAGGCGCTGCAGGGTCTGATGCAGGGGGTTCCTCTCTGTGGCTAGGGACAGACATTCAAAAAGCCAGAGCCTGAACTGATTCAACCTTGGCAGGGTAATCTAACCTGCCTAGGCTGAACCAGTTTGCAACAGGACAAATATGCTCTCTGCACTGAGGCAATGCAGACAAATGCCTGCAGTTGCTCAGACCAGACGCAGGGGGCGCTAGAGCTGGCCCTCAGGTGCAGGGAAGCTGTGCTGGGGTGGGCATGGCCAACCCAGGCTGAACCGGCCAGAGTGGGCCTTAATTCCCTGTGGCACTGGCAGGGACCTGAGCTGGGTCGGCCCGCACTCCCTCCTCGCTACTGCAGCGGGGGGGCACTAGAGACCCTGATGCAGAGCAGCACAGGGAGCAGAGTTCATTTCCCCTCTACCTCACTGGCAGCCCGGTGGCTCCCTGCCTGGAGTAGGCCCCCAGCTGTCCCCTCTGCCAGAGGCCGGAGAAATAACCCCATCTCTGCCCCCACAGGGGCCCTGCCTGGCCGTGCCACCTCCCCACTGCTGCAGCAGGAGGGGCAGAGCCCTTGCTGGGGGAAGCAGCCCCTGTCACACTATGGGGGAGAGTGAGCCCCTTCCCGGTGAGGGGCTGTGCTGTGGGCTCAGGCTGCGTGTGGCAGTGCCAGGGTGTGGAGCAAACCAGAGAGCCCTGCAAGCCCCTGCAGCGCTGCTGTACTCCACAACTGCTCTGCTGGCCCAACAGCGCAGCCCTGTGTCGGGGCAAGATACTAAGGAAGCTTATTCAGCCCCCATTATTCCACACCCCAGCTGAACAAGGAGGGGGCTTGCTCCAAGCACAGAGGGTCTGCTCGCACCGCATCTGGGTCTGCCCAGCGGGGCCTGCCTCACCCACCCGCTGCTGCTCTGTGCTTAGAGACAGTGGCTGAATAAGCCCCCTCTTACCAGCAGGACTGTGGTCAGGGTTCTTTGGGACAGTCCCCCAGTGGCATTGACAGGAAGTTTGGGGTGGTCCAAGAAGTATTTTGCCCCATAATCCCATCCTAATCTGACCTTCATTTAGGGCTCTGTACTTGATGCGAGATATAGTTTTACGTATTAAATTAGTACACATGCATAACTAATTAAATTCTCTGTTTAGGGTGTGTGATTCATGAATAACAAGCTTTTATTGGTTATAGATTAGCTTTAAAAAAGGAA